CAATGTCAACGATATGGCCCAATGGGATACCACTCACCCTACTGACAGTCTTCAGAGTTCTACGAAGTATGCACGAGTTAACAAACTGTAAGAGGAGGGGTTGAGTTATGCCTGAGTGCCTCAACTTCTTAATGTAAAAAGTCAGATGAAATATTATTTTAGAAATCGCTAAGACATGGGAAGACCAGGATAGGTCGAAAGAGAGAATTAATCCAAGGTACTTAACTTCAGATTTGATTTCTATATCACTATGATCAATTTTGCAAAGGTCATTGAAACCAACATCTTCATTTAACTTTCTTTTACATCGGAAACTGAAATTAACAGTCTGACACTTGGAAGGATTTAGTTTAAGACCACTAGACGAAGACCATTTGCTAATTCCTGATAGAAAGTTGTTAATCTTAATGCAGTCAAGCTGAGAGTTAACAGACATTGGAATAGTTAGATCATCGGCATACTTCACAAAGTTCATTTCATCAGAGTGAGGCAAGTCATGAAAGAAGAAAGAAAACAGAAAAGGAGAAAGGACAGCGCCTTGAGGGACACCAGCCTCAGTAAGCAACGAAGTGGACGACTTTCCCTGACATACAGTGTATTGCTTTCTTCCTGAGAAATAAGAATACAGCCATTTGAAAACCCAACAGTCAGTTTGAGTTTCAGCAAGCCTACTTAACATAGTGTGCGTCGGTGGTATAGCGGTTAGGACGCTCGCCGACCATGCACATGGTCCGGGATTCGATCCCCAGCTGACGCACTCCTTTACCTCGCTAAACCAGAAATAATGCTGGTAAAGAGGAAAGGTTGGGCATGAGGCTAGCAACCCCATCCTGTAAAATAAACACAGCTACAGAAACTTCAAGCCACTAGCTTGAAGCCCTATGTTCCATTGGGAACGTGAAGGAAAAAACAAATAAATAAATAATAACTTAACGTAATATTCCTAGATACTGAGTCGAAAGTAGATGTGTAATCTAGGAAGGTGCAGCGAACAAATGTCTAAAGTGGAGACAATGTTATGATGCAAGACTGCAGCTGCATCTAAAGTACTTCCTCGTTTAGGAAGAAGTAAATCACGCTATGCTCACTTTCAAGTTCACTGAGCCAATATCGCAGCTCGACCAAATGTTTGGGAAGCTGATAAAAATGTGATCATATCAGCAGCCAACTCAGTAAACTGGTACATCAACCCAGAGTCCCAAGTAGAAGCCGCATGGAACTAATTTAAACAACTTTATGCCCAAGTAACTGAACCTTTTATCCCTTGGTCTGTCCCAAAGGGTCAGAAACATTGTCCCCCTTGGATAAACCGAGTGATTCGTAAGTTACTCAGACGTAAACACAAATGTTGGAACCTGTTTGCCACACTTGAGACTCCTGAGACCAGGAAATTATATAACACTGCTAGGAATAAAGCTGTTGCAGAAATCCGCCAATCAAGGATGAAGTTCGAAGCACATCTGGCTCAAAATGCAAAGGCACAACCTAAGAAGATTCTCTCGTACATGAACTTCAGGAATAAAACATCCAATGGTGTCCCAAACCTGACTATTGACACTGACACAATCGAAGAAGATCAAGCAAGGGCAGAAACAATGGCAGACTACTTCTCCCAAGCCTTCAAACAGGAGTCATCACTCCCTATAGGATCAGCTCTAGCTGCATCAGAGGAATTCGGGATAGATTCCGTTGACATCGACCAAGGCATTATACTTAACTGCCTAATGAAACTAGGTGCAGGGAAACCAATGGGTCCTGATAATCTTCATCCAAGGCTTCTCAAGGAGCTATCAGCTCACATAGCCGGCCCACTGACCATGATCTTCAAGCTCTGTCTCCTATATGGAGAGTTACCGTGTGACTGGAAAGACGCCATAGTAACCCCCATCCACAAAGGAGGTTCAAGACAAAGCCCTTCAAATTACAGGCCTATCAGTCTCACCAGCACTTTAATCAAGACACTGAAAAGAATCATCAAGAGTAGCATAATGGCATATCTAGAAAATAGAAGCTTATTATCAAGAGCACAGCACGGCTTCCGAAGAAACCTCTCATGCCTGTCAAATCTCCTCACTGCGAGAGAAAGCTGAGTTAAATCAAGGGACAACAGGAGACCCGTTGACGTTGTCTTCATAGACTTCAGCAAAGCATTTGATAAAGTACCTCAAAAAAGACTACTCATGAAGTTGGAAAGTCTTGGTATCAAAGGCAGATTACTAAACTGGCTTACGAAATTCCTCATAGACAGGAGGCAGAGGGTTAGGATCAACTTGAAACTCGGACCTCTCCTATTCATTTTGTATATCAATGAGTTATCTCTGCTCACCGCCTCCCTTATGGTCCTATACGCAGACGACTTAAAAATTTAGAGAGCTGAGGGGCAAGTGATACGTCCACGTTGCAAGAGGACCTCAACAAATTGTCAGAGTGGTCCATAGAATGGATGCTAATTGTGCAACCATGCACATTGCACAAGCAAGCACGAGCTCTTATAAACTAGAGGGAATTACACTTCCATCAGTTCAGACTCACTTGGGCTTAGGTCTCATAGTTAGCCACGACTTAAAAACTACAGCACACTGTCGCGCGATGGCTGCACGTAGTTTCAGGTCCTTATGGGCAATTCGTAGAGCCTTCACTAGAATCACCAGGGATATGTTCACCCCCTTATATACATCTCTGGTGAGGTCAAGACTGGAAAACTGCATCCAGGCCACCAGCCCTTGTCTAAAAGGGGACTCACACATTCTAGAAAGGGTTCAAAGGAAGGCAACACGTATGATTCTCGGAATGATTACTTTATCCTACGACGAAAGACTGGACAGTTTAAATCTCTTCTCCTTGTCATACCGTAGGCAGAGAGGAGGTTTAATCACAATGTTTAAAATTTTAAATAATGACTATGGACCTGACTTTTTCTCTCTTTTCTTTCCCACCAGGTCGGAACACCTTATAGGACATAGCAGGAGAGTTCAAAAGCCAAGAAAAAATCATCTTGCTGTTCAGTACTGGTTCTCACATCGAGTCATAAACTCTTGGAACCGACTCCCAGAAAAAGTGGTGTCTGCAATCTCAATTGATTCATGCAAGGGTTTGGACAACCACAGAAATTTACTAGGAAAGGATTAACATAGGCTTCAAGCCTTCTATCCTCAACCAATAAATCTGAATCATCGTTATTAACTACGTTCAAAACATTCACCACATTATTATTCGATCCACAAAATAAGCCTGAAGAAGATCTAATAGAAAACATTATTGTTTGCTTATATGTCTTGTTCAAATATTAAAAATGGGAATATTTGAAAAAAGAGCATTATTAATTAGGGTCTTTTTTTTGGAATTCGATATTAATATTTAACCCAACGCTTCCGAGTTTTACTCGACATACTTTAGCCTGGGTACCTTAGAGGAATTATAGTCTTAAACAATGAACGTGGCCTTCAACCTGCTACATGAACATTGTGTTCAGAGTTAGTTAGATCAAGCAAACAACTGACCGATACCGTCATTTTATATGAGCATTAACACTCACTACCTGACCGTAAAGCCTTGATGTGAACTTACGAAGAGAAATATTCTATGCCGACTTGTCTCTATAATCTAGTATACATACAGTTCTTGGGAATGCAGACTTTAGACACCACAAAAATACGGTAAACTGAAGTACAACTTAATGCAGAAGTCCATTAGCTTGACCTACAATTTGTCAAAACCAAAGGATAACGAGAGCTCAGTAATATATATATCATTTAGTTTAGGATACATAGGAGCTCAGTGTCCTACGGATTTTCCAGCTATCGAACAATGGATGTACGAATACCAATTTACAGGTCTATTGCTTATGGAAAAATAAAGAACTCCACACGTGTTCCTCATATGATCAATAGCACTACGACAAGCGACACATTTTAATGAAAAGTCTATAGACACAGCTTGCCAACAACGTCAAAAATTCTACAGCAAAATGGAATCACCTACGGTTTTCTGAAAACTCTGATGCTCACTGCTGATTAAACCCATATTTAAACTAACCAGATTAGTACTGACGCATGGGAATAGTTAAGGCAAATTACACTTCGTAGCTGACATAAATTAAAATGCAACATTTAACCGGACTTTGTGGGTTAATACTCCAAATTGTCACCTCTGAATTGCAAGGCATTTAGTAAGCCTTAAGATTATTACAGAACTCGAAATCATTGGATATAGTCGAGTGAAACACACCTACATTCGGTGTTGCAGTTTCTATTTTGTCAAACTAACTTGACAGTGTTTCCAACCGCTGTGACGAAGCACGGTAGCAATCCAATTATTTCCTACATTATCATATATGGCCAACAGCATACTGTCGTATTTTCAGCATTTACACCCACATCGCAACGCATCAAATCTTCACGATACATTATGTCAAACAAATATCGTAGCAATCTTTCTAAAAGCTCGAAACCCACAAGCCATTCTGTCCTAGTAAATCTTGTGAATATTATTTCACGTTTAATTGGTGGATGGCGACTAGCAGTGGAATCCAGAATGCGCATCGAAGGGAAAATCTAAAATTCAATTAAATTACTTCACGTTTATTCATAGATTAACTGGAAAATTGACAGGACAGCTTCACCTTGTCGCACACTAACCGACAATCGCATACAATATGATCATGGTTTGTCAGGTACAGAATTACTTCACTTGACTGTTACACAGACGTCGCACTCACATACCGACGAGTCTATAAAACGGTGATTCTCATGTAATAATTCAACTAATTTCTCCTATAATATGTTACATAATACCAACAGCTGTTCCCCGCAGACGTCATTCAGTTGGAGGTACACGGAACATCATGAGAGGTTTCGGTTATAAACGCGTTCTAAATTGAACTACTTAACTTCACGGATTGACAGCTTAACAATAACGTTTTCAGATACTGAATGAACAAGGTTTAACAAATTAAGAACTTCAATGGTCGCTCTGTCCCTTTGTGTTCATTAGGACAGTTACATTCAGAAAATCATTGAAGATGTCTTAACGCTCTGTCAGAAAGTCTACTTAGTTTAATTCATTACACTAACAAAACGCAAACGGTGTGGCAATTTTGACAACTTATCCAACCCAAAAACTCACTAATACTCACAAAAACTTCCAGATCCATCACAAAGATTATTTATTCGAAATTATTTCCCATAATTTTACAAGAAAGTCCTTTCGCAGAAGTTTCTACAACGTAAATGAGTTATTAGATATTAAAATAACTTACGGTGGTAGCATGCCGTCTCTGACTGCCAGTCTATTTATGCAATCATCGACTTCACCCTAAGTGGCAATTACAAACAAATTCTACCTTACCATTGATCGTATAGACCCCGAAATATCGTAGGACTTAATGCCTGTAGTCATTCTACCAGTCGTAGGATCCAAATCAACAAACTGTATTTGGATAGAAGCGTGATCTTTCGCACCAATTAGTCTGTTGGTGACAGCACAGCGTCTCGGGATGTATAAATCAACGAATTCTCCGGCCTCGTTTTGCATCGTGGGCGATCCGACTTTTAAACTACCGCCTTCCCAACTGGATTCTCAAGGCTACATCTTCAACAAGCAATTCAATTGTACAAGGAAATCCTAATAACCATTTGCTTCCATAAAATCATGAAATAGCGGACACAGAGTTTTTAGTGCACATATAAGACAAATGAATTTGAAATGACAATGAATATGTCACAGGTATAACTCATCTAGTAAACCCACTGCAGTTATCTAGTTGATGCATTTCAGTCAAAATCGACGAATAAATCACTTCTAAAAAATTCTTACTAAGTTTGTGGAAGCGAGCGCAAATGACTAAACGAATTTATAGAAACTTACTAAGGAGGTATTTATTATTGTAATGGCCGATCCCGTTCAGTTATGCATGTTTCATTTGCGACATTTCCATCAATCCATCTGATAATACTGTATTCCTGTGTGTTATATGAAATTAACTTATCTAATTTGGAAGCAAATCAGTTCATGCGGAAGCACCACAGAATTTACCTTAACTCCGATTCACCCAAGACCATTGTTGAAATACTTCTGGTCCATATCATAACAAAAGATCTTAAAGTGTATAAATTTGTTGAGGACAACGCATGCAGGTCTACATTTGATGGTAATGGGGAGGAATGTGAAAATCTTCCGCCAGTAGATCAAGACTGATAAGGAAAAATAATACCTATTCATAAAAATTTAATGACGGTTTAGGATGTTAAATTTTGAAGAATCTGGCATGTGCAAATAAAGTGGGCACTCCAGAAGAACAACCGAAGGGGGACTACATGCACGGAATATCACCACTTGAAGTCGGGAATATTTGGTAGTTCTCACTGGAAGGCAATGAACTGTAACAAACTGCAATGAACGAAAACTTTAATATGATCAAGTATTCCACTAGTAGATTTGTGGCCCTACTCTTCTGACCACTATTCTCAATAAGGACCTCCGCATTCGACGTCAGTGGCATGCGGTGCAGGGGAAGGAAGAAGACAGACTGTTGAGTGAAGCGCTCTCACTTCCTTGGACTGATGGTTCAAATAGCAATGATATAACGTCATCTAATACGTGTACATATGGATTTAAAAATAGAACCAGTCAGCAGACAAAATATTAATCCGATATCACGTAGCAGGCAATTTTTGAAAAAGTCAAAATCATACTGATATGGTTAATACTGTCCTTTACATTAACATGGAATCTAGGGCATATAACAATACTGAGAGTATGCAGTACCTTTCCTGTCAAATGAAGAAACGAAACAACCGAAATCATTACCTATTCCTTTCGGGTTCACTTGGAACCGAGCCTCCGGAGATCTTCTGAGCTTGGATTTCCTCCTGTGTTGGAACTCCTTCTTGCACTTGTATTAGCATTTCCGTGGTTGATATTTGTGTCTCATCCATATATCACACCCCACTTCCCGCCCGACAGATTCCATCATTGGCGTGGTGGTCGGGCTGAAATATCGAAAAGGATTCTTCGTTCTGTGACCGATAATATTGGTGACAGCCCATATTCTATATATATTTATTATTTTATTTTTTTTGATTTACAGCTTGATTCCACACCGTATTTTCAGTACAAGTATGGAATTTTCAGCATGGATATCGGTAGCCCAAATTCAGGCTGACCATAGATATCGGGTGTGCGCCGGCAGGGGATCGAACCCCGGACCATGTGCATGGTCGGCGAGAGTCCTAACCACTGTATATGCAGGAACATACCAATTGTACAGGCATGGATAAGTTATTACATAAATTCCACATATTTCGATGTATGGTGAATTTACAGTTTGTTTGTTCTTTCTGACATTAGAGTCAGCCCGAACAGTCTGCAAAATAGTCTGTCTGTGTAACACATAAAGAGATATAGAAATATTGTCTCTTACAGACACACTGCCAACTTAATACTGAGAAGTTTAAAGTCAGGACCGTTCACAAAACTGGACAACAGGCATCACCAGCCACAACTCTGGCATCTCAAGACATGAATTTAGGTTGTCTTTCGGCGACACGCGCATAAGACCCAATACGGTTATTCACTTGCCAACAGGGTATATCTGTAAAATTCACCTTACGAGTGCTAGGAGGTTCTTCCGCCAGTTCGTGGATACTAGTATTTGTAGGGTTAGTACTGAGTGCTGGGTAGAAAAATTCCAAATCTACTGGATCCTAATGGATAGTCATTTGTCTACTGTTAGTCTGAACGGATCTGTCACAAATGGAAAAGAATATGTTGCCCGTCAACGTCTTCTCATAATCCCGGCCTACGCCCTTGGATAACTGTAGTTCGGACGAAATAAATGGTGAGGTCTAACAAAAAGTGCCCAGTTCGCTGCGAAAAGCAAAATGCCCAGATATAGTCGTTTTAATAGGACACTTTAGTGCTCAAGTAGGGAAGTTATGCCAGACTTAGAAGTATGTTAGTGGCACCTGCGGAGTTCCCCACCGACGAACTGACAACCATGATCGTCTTGTACAGTTCTGTTCAGATAATCACCTGTTCCAAGCCAGCACTGACTTTAGGGGCAAAGACAGACATTGCCTTACCTGACGACTCTCATCACCTAATAAACATCAGACTCAGAAAGACCATGTTGGTGACAGTCGGTAAAAGACTGTCGCCCGCTCTGGAAGGCGTGAGTTGACTACAGTAAGTGATTTACTTTGCACATCAAACAGGTATAGACCATGATAACTGAATTTATTGTTAAGCTGTTTCACATTTGATAACGCCCGTAAAGCTGCACATTGATGAGAGTAAACTATTATTATTCAAACAGGCAGCCACGAAGAGGAAATCAATTAGGTGTTAATATAGACAATGAGTAGCTATCTTTTGCAAATCACAAAGTATGGTTTTTGGTCCTTTCATGACAGTTTTTTATACAACACTCTACTGTTTAAATTTCTAAATTCGAATGTACGGGCACAAATCCTAATGAAGTTATCTCTAAATTTTCCGAAAGACATATAAGGACAAAGTTGTGGATGCAAAAAATTTTCAGCGCCCAACAAGGTGGCCCTAGTAAACTATTTACACTAATTAAAATACCTATGAACAACATTACCAGTTTTATCAAAAGCAACCCAACTGCCTCGCTTACAATATCTGTAATCCTATGCATTATGGCGTAATCTTTTCTCAGAAGCCCATCGAAAAAGAAAAGTTAAAACACAGGTTTCAATAAATCTTGGGCGAATAGGTCAGTTTATACCAGAAAGTTTCAGCTTCCATATGTAATAGGTCGAAGCAAAATTCTCCCCGAAATCATCACCATGTGAGATTATCGACAAAGACTAGAAGGAAGACTGACACCAGATTAGCGATATTTGGTCCGTTCAATGTGTTAGCACAGTAAGTATCATACGACACATGGGATCGGGTCGGTGGGTGCAAGTCTTGTCCACCATCAATAACTAAAGATAAAATCGGCACATTTAGAGGGATTCAGTTAGATAGTAACTAGATGAGAACGCCGTTGATATTCATACGAAAACAGTTTAGTGTAGAAAAACCGGAAAAGAGGGGTGGCGGGTTGTCAGAACGCCAAATAAGGCTAGTTTTCAATTGTTCTTCTCCATCGCTGTTCTAGTTTGATCAATAAAACAGCCTGTCAGCTGCCCTGCCTAATACTTAGAGAGAATCCAACCCCTGTCATACATAAACTTGTTGTTCTAGCAAAAAGCTTACTACCGATGTTGCCTGTTGTATTGGTCCTGGATTTTAATTGAAATGTTGTGCAGATTATCTTTCTTCTGGAATCAAGATCATGCGTAGGGTGAAGACCCTACAGATCCAGTTGAGAGACATAATGGATAAGATTTTATTTTGATAAATCACACAGTGTAGTACAGTTATATTAACTGATACGTTCGAGCACAAACTATTGCTCATAATCAACTTGCTCATAATCATATACCACAGTGCCCAAGTTTTATACCAGTTGAGAGACCATGTAGTTTTGCGAAATGAAATTGACAGACTCAAGACATCGGTTCTGAGCATCTAGACGACTCCCGCAGGAAACCCATACCCTCCTAGTTGACTCAAGTCCAGTGCCCACCGTGCATAATAGTGCGGAATGAGTTACATAATATCTTCCTTTAATAACCCTGGTCTACCCAACACCATGTGCTTAACTTCATGGTTACTGGCCGTAGTAATCCAGAGCTAATGCGTTTCCGGTATTTTCGGGCCTCCCACATTTAATGTCCAAGTCCCATTATTGTAAATGAAGAGAGGGTGAACAGTTGAAAAGCAGTACATTCTTTGGTTGACGTCCAGATATAGAGCCCAAGCTAACGATTAACAGATCTGGTGAGTGCAGTGAAAAATTCTCGTGTATATACCAAGGTGATGTTAGCAACGTGATACTCATGTCACATATTGGAATTAAGATTTTCTTGCCACATTCCTTATGATACCACCGATTAGCATTCCACATCCTCCCGTGCCTTCCTTCACAACTTCGGAAGTCTTCAGTATGCATATGATTGGCTTCTCGACCAGCCAAACACAGAATGTCGTCACTTCCTAGGAGACATTGATGTATACCTCTTGACATATGTGGCACATGTTATATACGGAATTCTCCGAACTTCTTGATCACATTCTTTCATATCGAGTAATTTAAGTTCTATTGAGCTTTCTTCAAGTTCGTCAGAGTAGAGGTGAATCGCGTATTACGTGATTACGAAATGTGAAGCTGATCGGGTACAAACCCCCACAAATTTTTCTTCTTATTAATTACGCTATTCAACTACATCGTTTTCTAGAGTTTGACAGACGCCACGGAGTACTGTCTTAGTAGCTTTAAAGTGATTAGGCAGCCTAAATATTGGGAGGAAATGTAAGAGAAAAATAATCGCCTTACTCCATACAATATTCTAAAACAAGACAATTTTCACTGTGTTTGACTGAGTAAGATTTTCTGCTGGTATGGTGTCCTGAGGTTAAGGAATATACAACGTGACTTAGTGTTGTTCAACCTGAAGCAGTATTCAGTTCTCTGCAACGTTTTTGGAGCCAATGAACTGTCAGCCGAAATCGCAGTG